CCTTTAATTTCACTGTTGCTTTTCTACCCCCTGCTCCCCCTCAACATCCTCCTCCTGCTCACCACCCTGCTCACGTCCAGGTCTGTTTCCACTGATAAGACTGTCAGCAACACACAGTGGAAGAGATAACGATGTTGCATTGCCAACATAGTTAGCATCACAGTTAACTGCTATTCCTCTCTTCCCCTAATATCATCGTTAATGAATGTGTCATCAGTGATCTTTCTCTCTGAGCCAAATAGAAGCGGTGAGTAGGCGGGAAAGGAAAAAATGGACAGAGGGAGAAGGTGAACAAACAGGACAAAAAGTTCTTTCTTTTTTTGTCGATCCATTTTGTTTGGGGCTGCACTGAAAATTCGGTTGTTACCTGGCATGTCATGTTCGGCTCAGTTCGAGGGAGTGGTGAACATGCTGCTCTATCTGAGACCACGGGCTGAGCTACAGGTCAGACAGTTTATTGTTGTCATTATCTGTCCGAGACTTTTCCTAATTGGCCTTTTCCCAGGAAGACATTTTGACTTGTCACAGAAGGGAAAACACAGACATAGTTAAATTATTGATGCTTTGATTTCAAGGTACTGGTATAATGCATGCTTGTTCACTGTCACTGGAACACTTGATTAGAGTCATCTAAACTGAATTAGTATTTCTTTTAGCATCTTTAGGATGTTGGAGGATATAAGTATTAAGAGGTCCGTCTTAATACAACACTCACATGCAATATGTACAATTAAAGAGTCATTGGTCTCTGTAATCATCCTGGCTGTGTAAGAGATGTTGAACAAAATCCACAGTCCTTGTTCATCTGAAACAATATGAGGCTAGCATAAGCCGTTTCCTAATTACTATCATGTTTGCAGTTTTTAGTGTCACCCCAAAGAGTTTTAGTGTTGCCAGCTGTACCTTGGTGCTGCTGTTGTATATGACTTGCTGCATCCGGCGTAACACAAATCCAGTTGATTTGGCAGGTCATTTTAACTTCAGCTGAACCGTGGATTTTTCCCTCATCTTTTACACTGTAGTCGTGTTGGAAAGCGATCTCTTAACGGCCAATACAAACAGGAGATATGATTACAGAAACCAATACCTCTTTCAATGTACAAATTAGAGATATACTTGAAAAATGTGAACCTACATTCTTGAAGGCTTTTTAGAACTAAATAACTTAAATAAAGTATAATACATCTGTAGCATTTAACAGCTTTCTGTTTTGGAGCTGTTTCCAGAGCACCACATCCTCAGTGTAGAGTTACTTGATGATAGATAGTTCAGGTCATATGAGAAGTGTGTGGTATTTTGGTGAGCGTGACCACAGTCAGAGATGTAATTCCACTTGGCTCTTGACTGTCGGCCTTTTGAACAGGCTGAAATGCAGAGAAGTTGCCAAACGCAACAGTGATGAACAAGGCTGTGATTAGTTTCAGGGCACAGCTGCGGATAGGGAGCATGTAACCTAGAACAGAGAGACATCCATAATGTATGCATGTTAAAATCAAATTTCCGTTTTCATTGCTGAGAAGTTCCTCTTATTATGGGATTCATTTGCACATCTTGAGGTGCTTAAGCACAAGGTGACACGGAAAGGTACGTGTGAGCATGAATCATAACCACAACTCAGAAGCTCCATTTATTGCGTATACTTTCCCCACATTCGGCTCTCTTAAACGGGTTTCCTGCTATATTCCATCCAAACCATCTGATACATTTATGTCCGACACACGTCCCACGTACATTCACAACTCAAATGTCATCCTATTCTGTCCTAAATGTCAGTGCAAATGAAAGTCCTCCCAAAAGGGGGGCTTTGAGAAAGGAGACTGTCATTTGTCTGCCGTGTAAGACCCACGCTGGAATCAAAGTCTTACTTACATTTGCAGCCATAATCTTGACGCTCTGCACCCACTGTGAAGACATCTTGTGTATGCAGTTACTGTACACCCACCAGTATACCTTTGCCATCGTTCAAGGTGGAGCCACAAAGCAAATACCAGAATTATCAGTGGAGCTGGAAATTATTTCATGACCTTGTAGTAGAGGGAGAGGTTACAGGAAGACTGGATTTCTGCATGTCTGTTTCAGTAATTGTGGGTGAAAAACACACTTCAATACTCACTACCTGGTTTGAGTAATGTTAAATCCTGAGACAAAAGTACTTTTCTCATTTCATACATGTGGTTTTCTTCTCTGGCACTCCATTTAATTACTTAATTATTTAAGTACAGCGGGAGAGGTTGTTTATTAAATACACAGCAGTAGAACACTTCTGGTGTTTGAGTCAGATGGCATACCATCAATAATGTCGAAATAAATCTAAAATATAAACAAAATGGCCCGAATAACAAATGTCGCAGCAAATTATGTTTCAGGCTCTCAGAGGATGTCACCCATTGCTCTGTTTAGAAGCACATACAAATTCAACCAACATCTAATTTATTAAATTAGATCTGCAGTTGAGAAAGCAAAAAAAAAAAAAAACATTAGCAACTCGAATCCGACTCGGTCATGACAATCAACGCTGCAGTAAATTCATCCACAGATATAAAACACTTTGTAATTCCTGCTGTTCATGAATCAAAGTGTAAAACAACTGTACAAAACAGGCTAAAATAAAAATAAATAAAGTTATAAACAATTTAACTATTGACTTAAGTTTTATTGTAATGCTTTTATTTCTCATATTAGACTCATTGTGATACTTAGTCAAATATTTAGCTTCACTCATTTCTGTCGCATCCTCAAAGTAACCGGAAGTTTGGCAGTTTCTAACTGTAACCGGAAGTTTTGAAGTACAGGTAGTGAACATTAAGGGAAGTCCCGCCCCCAATGTAGGTAGAGAGTACTTCCAGGTCGCAGTAGGAACTATTGCAGTTTCAATTTATACATGTTTCAGTGTCAGTATCGAGATATTCTAGCACGGTATTGTTTCGAAATGACAATTTTGGTATCGTGCAATGTTGGTTAAGTAGCAGCATATATGGCGGTACGTGTACTACTGCAGTATGTGCAATATAATAGTAAAGTGTGTAGTAAGTAATGAGTGTGTGTGTGTGTGTGTGTGTGTGTGTGTGTGTGTGTGTATTGGCTCAGAGGTTGGAGTGGTGGGCGTTTGCTGGACTCCACCAGGCATCATGACAAGCCCGACACCTGACCTAAGGGTCGCAGGCCAGACTTCTTCTTTCTTGCGATGAGCTGTTAACTGACCTCGGGGGCAGTCAGTCAGGGTAGAAGAGTGTGTTTCTGTGCGTGTGCGTGTTTAAACCTCAGTTCCTGTGATTTGATTTACCCTGACAAGGAAACAGGACCGGACAATAAAAATGGCTATTTTTCCTCTATTCCCTCTCTCTGCGTGCTTCAGGCGGAACGGGGTAGATGATTAAACAGAACCAACCCACTGGAAGATTGACACTCCCGGAGAACAATTGTTTGAGCTTAAACCCCCCCTTTGTATGTTATATTCATAATAATATATCAGTATCGGTTTGGTTCTGTTTCTTCCAGAATGGTGCAGCAAATGAATTTAAAAGACCCAGAATGTCTATAACCAATATTTACGCATTTCTACGTTGGTGGCCTGTATGTGGTAAAATGGATCTTTATGACAATAATGATCACTGGAGGTGAGGGAGAAATATATTCATTCTTTCTATGAAGGACCTAGATATTGCTACTGAGGGACAGTAATCCTGCACACTAGGGCTGTCAACAAATATTCAAAATTCAAATATATATTTGAAAAAAAAAATATCACTGGAAAATACATAAAAAGTAGCCAAAAGTTAATCCTAAAGTTAATCAGGAATAGATTTTGAATCAAATCGTGACCTCAAGAATCTCAGGAAATGTAATTGTCAGATACCGATGCAGTCTCGATGCCTCGACTCTCGGGAAACCTGCTGGAGTAAATCAGGCCAGCTACTTCTTTATCTATGTTTGAATAACTTTTTATTGTTTCTATTCTTTGTCTCATTTTGGTACCGATTTGTGTCTTCTGTATAATTCATTAAATTCAAGTCACTGAGCTAAGCTTCTGTTTTTTCTGAAAGCTAAATCCCTGCCGATCTCTGTTAAACCTAGAAGACTTAAAGTTTACCAACACTTACTGCTGTTCTGAAGGTATATCCAGATTCCTCAAAGTATTTTCTAACCTTCTGAATGAAAAATGATTCCATCCACCGTGTATGAAAATACATAATGATAATAATACATGAAGCATTTAATGCATTTGTTGTTTTAATTTCATTTGTTAAATTGTATTTTATTGAATCTGAAGTATCTAGAATAATTTAACTGTAATCTTAACGTTTCTTTGTTTTGTCTTTTGTAAAGCACCTTATAATAGTTTTTAATTATTATTTATTTTCATCTTTTCCAGGCTCAAAATCGAATGATCTCCATCTCTTCTGAATTTCTTCTCTCAGTCTGTTCGTTTTTCTTCCTGCCTGGATGATTGGAGAGACTCCCTAAGCTGTACGCCCGGCAGCCCACTGAATTGTGAATCCAAACAGCCGGAGCAGCAGATAGACAGTGACTGAGAAAAGGGAGGAAGGGGGGTACTGAGAGAACAGGGAGAGAGAGAGAGAGAGAAAAAGATGAAAAGCATGCTAAGCGAGAGAGAGGCGCTCACACTGAAGGAGGCAGAGGCAACAGCTACAGCAACAGCACGCTCCTTCCCCATCCTCCCTCTCCTCTCTTATAATCCCACATCCACGCAAGGGGAGATGGAGGGCGCCCCGACCCGCTGAGGAGCGCTGTTTGAAGGAGAGGAAAATCTCACACGAGCAACCCCTCCTGTGAGTGCCTGGATCATATTTTGGGACAATAACCAACAAGGAGTGAAAGGAGGTGTGTGCACATACGAGCCTGCCGGCTGGAGGGAGGGAGTAGGAGAAAAAAG